GATCCGTGGGCGTTTCGTTCATTCAAAATTCAAATTATTGAAATTTGAAATGGCTGCCAAAATCATTTTTCGAGTTTTAAAAAGTTCTTTTTTATCTTCGACTCGTTCTTTTTTATCGAGTTGAATTAATTAAATACTTGAAGTTCGATCCATTTTTCATTTAAATCGTTCGAAAGCAAAAAAAGAATTCAAATTTTAAATAAAAGCAAATTGGAAAATCAAAACGTCACATGCTATACCCAAGTAGGGGAGGGGTATTTTGCAATTCATTYYCACCCAGGAGAGGGGTYTGGCATTGGCAACGCGTTCACAAGCAAACAAAATGGCGGACGCGAACTTGTAGATCGATCGTTTTCGTTAAATGGGATTTAGAGTGTTTGGAGACTGAGTTTAAGTGAACTTATGGTCTTTTACTGTAAAAGTCTTCTCGACTGCAGTCTATTGTCATCTAATCCAAGAGTCTAACATCCAGGAAGCAGTGAAAATTATACATTAAGCTAACATCTCCATCCTGTCGAGACAATGTTTCAGGTGAGTGAGTAGTAAGCAYACTGCGTTTATTTTAACCTCCACTTAAAAAAAGTCGAGAAACAACAGAAAATACTAGCTCATGGTTCTCAGTGATATAAGCGTACTTGTAAAATATGAAAAATTATAAAGAATAATACAAGTAATCTGAACAACAACATTTTTAGCACATCAATGAATTCATCGTAATCAATCTCACTTTTACAATATGATATATATGTACTCTATGTATATATCTTTATGACGAAGAAACTGTAATTCTGATTTATTCTGAAACTTTAGAGCAAAATATAATSAAATGGGATTTCCATTTGAGATGGTTATCAATCAAGATTTTTATAAAGATATTGTCTCGTTCAACWTTTTCCAATGGAGTATTATTGATTCTAATGTCTAAAGGAGTTCAGTTTTTTGCATTTTGAATTTGTAAAGATCATATTAACACATTACATGTAATTAGTTTTCTTTGCATTAACAATGAGTTTAACATGTCACATTAAAACTAGTAAAACTGCAAAAGATAACCTATCTAATTTCTGGTTAAAATTAAATTCTTTGTAATTTCCAGGTTCATCAGACATCATAAGTAATATAATCATTATGATGATTAGATGGAGTGCGTGTAAAGTCCACATATTGATTTCTGTTTGGCAAGTAGCTTCTCAACCGATGTTCAGTCCTGTCATATATCCCATAGTACTGTAATTCAATTTTTTGAATGTCATGATTTATTCTGTCAAATTAATACCAGTTTGAAAAGTATCAGAAAACTCCTACTGTTACATGTAATTGCTGTTTACGAGTTATAAAGTGCAGACGAAATCTTTACAATAAAATCCATACTGATTTTCTGTTTTAAATAATATATTCTTTGAAGAAATAAAAGATATCAATCTATTTTCATCAACCTTCTCATAAATCTTTCAAAGACAAGTTAAAAACAAAACTGGTCTGTTATTAGTGCAGTGATCTTTATCTCCTGCTTTATAGAGAGATCATCTTTGATATTTTCAACCTATCAGGGACTACACCTGATACAAGCAAGAAGTTAATTAGGTAGCTCAGTTAATGGTTTAGAAAGGATTTTGATTGAAGATTTTATTATTTTTTTATGTTAATTATATTGTAAAACACACAACAAGTTATTCTTTAATGACATGACAATTTTTTGAATTTTTTTATTAATATAAAAAATAAAAATGTATTTGAATCCTTTCAATTTTTTTTGTTTTTCTGAGGTTTTTGTGTAATAACTCTTTTTAGAAAGTCTTAATAGACTATTCRAATGGCTTTTTACTGTTAATGTTATAGCCTTTTGTCTTCCTAAGAGGGAAACACTTGTTATATTATTCAAAATTTGGTTTATGCATCATCAGTGAGGACAACAGCTTATGAGATAAGCCAGTTGTGTTTGCTAAGTAGTGTTTAAAAAACGAGCAGGAGTGCTTTATTGGGAGATATAGACACTTGGCCATTACGTTTGTCCATAACCTGACAGTGGATCCATTGTTGGGGTACTTTTGCGTAGCATGTATTAACTTGCATCCTCGAAACACACATTAGAAAAACAAAAAGTTTTGGGAAACCTGTGTTTGCGCCAGCAGTCCTCTCAACCAGCGTCTCCGAGCGTTGTAATTTTCCAGTGTGGCCACTTTGGTTCTCATTACTGTTTGGCTTCTGTTTACCTTGACATAATTAGATGATCTTGTGTTGATAACAATATGGTACTAAGGATGTTTCTTTTGATATGGTATGTTTACTTTTTGAAATGCTTGTTGAAAAATAACCACAAATATCAACTCAAACACTGGCTTTTAATGCAAAAAAAACAACAAGAGAAAATCAGCATTTATACAGTATTAAACTTTGCTAAATGTATTTTCAAGATCACACAAGAAGTCATAAAAACTGACATGCAAATGAGCTTGACCGAAACACTCAACAATTACCAGTTAATGATTCTGTACAAATTATCTGATATGCAATGGAACAATTACCAACAATTATCAGTTAAGGGTGTACTGACGTATCCGTTTCTAGACGACCTGGTTGCTATGCCAACTGATGCTTGCCAATCGGAGAAGTGGGCGCGCGCACGTTTTCATGGCCGGAAAATTTTTACTTCGGTGGAAAGGTTTTTGTTTACATAAAATGTATGGTATCATTTAAAAAATATAATCTTCGGTGCGAAACATCAAATGGACATGTTTTTTCAATATTTATGTTCTTCACAGCCTCCTCTTCAGAACCAAGCATGGGTTTGGCAAAAAATTAAAAATACGAAAGTTATTGGCATTTTTCGCTTATTTGTTGTATTTAAAAAATCGTAAAAAGCTTATTTGGCAATCATTCTAAAAACGCATGCTTGGCTTTACGGACTTAGATCTAAAGATTAATTTCATCTATTTTAAATCATTTGATATACTTTGCTTGATGAAATTATAGCATTTTTTCGTATTAATGACGTCACACGATAAAATGACGTCATAGAATGTGTTATTTTTGTTTGGGAAGGCTTAATACTCAATACAAAATCGATTTTACTTTTGTTTGTCATTCTAGAGAACTACTGAATTTCCCTAGCAACGGATATGTCAGTACACCCTTAAGGATTCTGCACAAATTATCTGATATGCAATGGAAGACCTTCATGTAACTTAATATGGTTGGACTAAAACAATCAAGAATGCTTTCCTAAAATAAAATATAAACATGGAAATATATAACAGTTAACTGCTCTGTGAGACTAGAAGATTGTTAAAGCTGCTGCTACATGGAACAAAGTAATGGTTCTCTTTATGGTGCACTACAGATTTCTCTTAAATCATCTAAAAAATCGTCAAGCCCAAGTAGTCTAAAGGTATTAGAATATGCTCTTTCAGAGCTACAGTGGGGACATGATTTTTCAAAAACACTAGCTCCAGTGCCATACCACTGATCAATACACGTATTGCATCCTAAAATCCTTCCACAACACCTAGATGCTATAATTGGTGTCTTCATAGGAGCTGTTTTGCAAACTATGCATTCAAATGCCTCTTTTACAATATTTTTCAATGCAATTGGAACCTTGGTATCATTACTTATCGATAACACCCTACTTATTTCATATTTTATATTACTTATTTCTCCCTTCATCTCTTGTAAGTCAGCTGCATTCTGAGTTTTTTGGTGCTTCCTTGACTTTCTTTCAACATCAGAGTCATCTGACTCATCTGAGCTATCTTTGACTTTACTTTTTCGCTTTGGTCTCT